ATGTATGTTCAAATCTTCAGCAAGGATTTTTCATGTGTCATGCTTTTCACAGCCTGTCCGATGCAAACTTTGCACCATTAGACATAGTGTAAACAGAACACACCTAACTCTTCCATCAGCATGGATGTGAAATCTGGATGTTTTGTGTTTGGGAAACTTTTTTTCCTTACTTTAACTTTTTAGTACCTCACAAAGACTGAAAATATGGGCAAGCATTTACAGTTCATTTGCTTCTCTCTCTCACACACATACATAGCCTTTACACCACCCCTGTGGCTTTTCAGAACAAGGTTCCCATAACCCACTTCAGAAGAATCCTTTTAGCATTAAAGTCATCACATGATGTCTTTTAAATTCCCATAATACCACAGTACTGTACCTCAGTACTGAAGGCTGATACACCACTATCGCAAGCAGCTTTTGGCTTGACATCTCCACTGTAGTAGGAACAGTGACAGAGACCTGAGAATCAATACTGCAGTGCATAAAGGAAATCCTTATTAACTCTCTTTAGCCATATATAACTCTCACTGGCCATTAATCCCCTCGAAACATTACAATAGTGAGAACCCCCAACATAACTGTTCTGAATGTCGACATTCATCTTCTACTTAGATTTTATACTTTTACAATTTCATAAATCAGACAGGGAATTACATCACCTTTATATATTTATGTTCATTTTAAAAAAGAAATTGTAATCTGTTGCTCTCTTCTCATTCTTTTGAATGTTTCACAAAGATTTCTATATAAATGCTTTGTCTTGCCCACTAAAATTACAAAACTCATAAACACTGAGATCAAACAACTAGCTAAATCTATCTATTTATTTTCTTCTCAGTAAAAACAGGTATAAAGTACAGGTACAGTACACTGCCAAAAGGTTATGGACACTTCCCATTCCAGATTTAGGCCCCCTTTGTTGTTGTAATAAGCTCCACTCTTCTGGGAAGGCTTTCCACTAGATTTTGGAGCATGGTTGTGGGGATTTGTGCTCATTCAGCCACAAGAGCATTAGTGAGGTCAGCGCTGACTTGAGAAGGCCTGGCGTAAAGAGGGTGATCCAGTTCATCCTAAAAGTGTTCAGTGGGGTTGGGGTCAGGGCTCTGTGCAGGCCACTCGAGCTCTCCCACACAAACTTGGCAAACCATGTCTTGTGCACAGGGGCATTGTCATGCTGGAACAGGTTTGGGCCGCTTAGTTCCAGAAAAAGGGAATTCTTAATGCTACAGCATACAACATCATATCATTCAAAATGGGGCTGGCGATTTGATGCATCTGCATATTGAACAATACATTCAACAGACTGCATAGTAAAGTAGGCTAGTCATCATAAAATACTGCTTATATTACGTGAGGTGTAATAAACTCAATAAGCCTACACCATATCCTCTGACAAAGTGGCGTCCTTTTTTCTCAATTCAGGAGAGGCTACGCGGGATTAAAAACACACTTCTCCTATTTTTCATGAGCCAGCACTCTGGAATACTAGCAGGAAAAGCAGCAATGGCTAGAACTGGAAGATTCCCCCAATTTTCTTTAAGGTCTGATGTATGGGAGCACTTTGGTTTCCCAGTAAACATTGATGCTGATGGCCAGTGAGTTCTGGAGCAAAATATTACAGTGTGCCGAATCTGTCAAATATGAGATCAATACACAGGCGCAAATACCACAGAAATGTCTGACATCACCGTTCTGTGTTGTCTCAGAAACTAGTCAAAGACATGAAGCAACACACACACACACACACACACACACACACACACAGAGTGAGCGAGAGAATAACACATGCATGTATACACATAGGAAACTCTCTGCTACATTCAGGCATTTTGAATCCTGCTGCATTTTGAATCCTCTAGAATGCAGGATACAGAAACACATCTAGGGCTACAGAGAGCTACAGAGAGCAACAGAACTCTAACTAACAGCGGAATGTAAAAAAGTCCTGTGCTTCAGACATGGCTGCTTGTGAGTCACACCAGTGAAAGTTTAGGCATGTTTAATTTTGTTACATTCAGCTTTTGCTTCATTACACAGTATGCTGCTGAGTCTGACAAGCAAACACTGTGTCTTTATTAACTTTCAATTATTGTATTTTTATAATGTTCAGTGTTTTGATCAACTGAAGATGGAAACCTGAGGCACATATTCAGGTAATGTTTCTTTTTGTTGTATGGAAAGTGTATTGAGACACTACTCTAATGTATCATATCAAAAAGAGAATTTTGTGTATTGATACACCGCTAGTAGGTAGCCATAAAGTAGTTAAAATCTTCTGTGATGATTGTGCTTTTCTGTGTTAATAACTTGTTAATAACTGTAAAAATGACATTGATGCTGTGTAATTTATGAGTATTTCTTTATACCACACAGTATTCAAAACAACATATTCAGTGTGTATTATACTGTGCAAAATTTCATGTGAAAGCTGTGAATCATCTAAAGATCCCACAGAAACGCTCATGGAAAAGCTGAGGATAGTTAGGATGGTCACAACACACTACAAAAAAATTTAGTCTGCTACTAAAACTAGTCCTGGACAGAGATAATCCAGGTAAGCAGCCAGCATAAGTGAGGCTACATCCAAAATTATAGGATTATGATGACAAAATCAATGATAATTTTTCAAAAATCACTGGTGTATTTATTGTTTCATTTCATTTACTGAAAACAATTGTAAGATATTTATTTTTTTGTGAATCTCAGCTACTTCTTCTTTCTATATTAAGCGTAATGCTACTGCTCAGTCACAGACATTTATTAGGTTAAGTGTGAAGAATTTTGCAATAGTGCTAAATTTACAGTTATCTTGTTAATGTTACTAAAGAACCTTCTGTGTCCACTACCAATCTACCAGAGCTCTGGTCCTCCGTTTCCATGCCAGTTGTATCTTGTCTTTGCAGAGATGGCTGGAAGCGTCTCTTTCAGGGGCTGCTCTAAAGTGTGTGTGGCTGCATTGTCTGCACAGCTGGGACAGATTGATGGTTTGTCACTGGGAGAGCACTACAGCCAGATGAGTCTGCGACTTGCCTGCGCATGCAGTGTCTGCGTTGGGGGCCAGAGTTCAAATGTAACACTTTGGCCAACCCTACCCATGCCAAAGATAGTGTCATGTGGTATATTAATAAACCTATCAGTCTATCTGCGCTTGCAGATGAGAATGTACCCAGGCCAGCCCTGTTTTCCAGTGAGAGCTCTCAAGCTCTATGTGGAAGTGAGAGCAAGCTGGCCGGTATTCAGGTGCTTTGGGGAGCACCATAAAGAGGCTCTGCTGTGTAAAGAGAGATTGATCCTTAGGGCAAAATAAGTGATAGTTCAAGCATACTTGTCATAATGCTTGTCAAGACGCATCGTCTTAAATTCATTAGAAAATATCATGAGCAGATGCAAACAAGTGTCATAACTGTGTGAGCGGGATTTAAAAAACCACACCTCTAGTCAAGATGAATTATGATCTCAAGTGATGAGTTCATAATTTGAACAAACAAACAAACAAACAAACAAACCAACCCACACGTTCTAGTTTAGGCCACGCCCACTTCAGGCTTAAATTCAAATACAAATACAGATATAGATATTTGGGGCACTAAAAAGGCACCCTACAAGAGAGAAAGTTCTCCAAGTAGAACCTTTTTAAAAGATAATTTTTTTTTAAAGATAATATCCCTTCATTATTGAAAGAACTTTAAAAGAAATGTTTTCCCTTAACATATAGTGAAGAACGTAAGAAGTTTATACTTGTAAGTGGTTTTGGATTTGTGAAACGGCAGTGGGCGGAGCCTGGAGTCACGTGAACTGAACACCAATGGGCCCACTATACTTGAAAAGGACTTTAAGATAAGTAGTGTAGTAGTAAAATTTTTCATTTTCCTAATACAAGCCTTGTCAATGAACTAAACGCATACGAGCACGTCGGAGATATAAACACACACCAAAACATTTCAGGACAACTAATATAAAGTTTAAAAACATATCTATATCTATATATACAGCTAATCAGACTCATTCTTGAGACGCGGGATAACATAAGGTTCATAAAAATCCTGCTTCACGCGACCCAAGTGACCGCCCTAGCAGCACACAACATTTACATTTACTAGTGAATAAAAAAGTTGTGTTCACCAGTTATCCAAGTTAAACTCTACCAACAGGGGTATAAAGCTCTAGAAAAGGAGTTAAAACCGTTTAGAAAAATGTAAAGCGTAAGTTTGACGCCTCACTTACCCGGGAACTGTAACACTCCGCTTCAGCAAAGTAGCTACCTCAGGAGCTCAGCGGATAAAAGGTACTAATACTTTCGCACACTATACCTTGTGCAGCTCAATTCTAGATTTAAACGAGACAGGACACCTAACTTCAGAAGAAGACAGAAGCACAAAGAAAAACGTGCCTGTTGTTCAGCCCCTAACTGTCTTCCTGCTCCTGCTGAGTGAGACCGCTCGGTTAATAGGCTTTACAGTAGATACACGCCCACTGAGTCCACTGATAAGACTTCACTTGTGATGGAGGCTGAAACGGAAGTGTTTCAGTGGCATGTGTTTAGAGTTTCAGACCTGGAAAAGATTCACCCCCAGCGAGAGACAACACCTAAATTAGTACAGGTGCAGAATAACTCATTTTGTTCATTGGTGTAAAATGAATGGCCACATAATTATATTACTGCAGGGTGTCCCAAAAGTCTCCAAACATAGGGGACACTTTTTTTTAGCAAAATGTCTTCATCCTTAGTTTATATTATCCATCCATCCATCCATCCATCCATTCTCTTATCCTACACAGGGTTGCGAGGAGCCTGGAGCCTATCCCAGGGGACTCAGGACACAAGGTGGGGGACACCCTGGACGGGGTGCCAGTCCATCGCAGCACACAATCACACACACTCGACAATTTGGAAATGCCACTCAGCCTACAACACATGTCTTTGGACTTTAAGGAAACCGGGGTACCCGGAGGAAACCCCTGAAGCACAGGGAGGACATGCAAACTCCACACACACAGGGCAGAGATGGGATTCGAACCCCCAGCCCTGGACTGAGGCAACAGTGCTAACCACTAAGCCACTGTCCCCCCCCAGTTTATATATATATATATATATATATATATATATATATATATATATATATATATATAT